ATTTCATTTGACCCAAACCACTGGTCAAAATGCTTAAGCTAAAGTTGATAGTAGTACGCTCATCAAACCCTTGGTGTTACATGTTGGCCATCAACTCACCATCTTCTCTAAATAGAAATGTGTGTTTGCACGATTCATAATAAGCTTCTATTATCTTCACTCTTTGTTTATTTGTGCCAAAAGATATTATTTCATATATTTTGCTACTAATTACTCCTGTATAATAGTTTATTTTCTATTTTTTTATGCATTCGTGATGAAATCTTTGAGGCACAAAAAACATAGTAATCTTTTACATGAAATTGACACCTATTTTGTGATTTAATTAGGTTAAAGTAGAATTTGATGGTCTGGAATGTCAAAGATTCGGAGCCAACCATGGTTCATGTAATAGCCTATCACAAGCTTAATGTTGGGAGTTGATTAGGTTCAGCGGATGATCCTACAAAAGCTACGTAAAGGAATATGCCCGACAAAAGTCCATGCTTAAATTGTTAACATGGGAGAAAGGTGATGTAGGATTCAAAGAGTTCAGAGACCTCTAAGTCAACAAAACTTCAGTCTTTTATGGAGGGTTTTAATAATAGTTGGGATTAAGTGGGGAGTTAATCCACAAAAAAATTTTGCAAGATTGTCGGACTTTACTCGAACCTGAGGAGTCACTTAAACTATTTGGCATTGCGGTTAGCACCATATTGTTGATCACATGGGTCACTCATCCTATGTGTCTACCCATAGAAGATCTGAATTGATGTCAGCCTGGGATATGTGTTGGACTTTATTGTTTGTTTTAGGCAAATGTGCCAAATTTTCTCTTAACTGTTTTAGTTCTCTGCTCTTGATATCATCTACGTGCATGCTTGCCTTTCATATGTTTCTGCTGGACGTCCCATGAGATGTTTCTTTCATGTTATTCATGATTGAGGAATGATGGATATCCATTATTTTCCTGTCTTATATTAGTCATGTGCTGTCTACCAAGATAATACAAAATAGGATCATAATTTTCCTTTCTGGAAGCTGTCACATATGGAAGGCCAGCAAATTTTAGGTTTGTTTGATGATTGCATTTTGAGGTTGAGCCTCGATACAATGGTAAGTTGCTCTTTGTGATCAGAGTTCGAGGCACGAAAATAATCTCTCTATATTTAGAGGGAAAGCAGTGTACAGTGACCCTCCAATACCTGTATTGGCGGGAGTCTTGTGCACTGTGTATGCTCTTTTTACTTGAGAATTGCATTTTGTCGGATGATTAGATGAATCATCAATTTTCTTTTGTGCTAGTTCCACAAAGTTATCTGTGCATATGATAAATGTATACATTTGATAGTTCAGTAAATTTTATTTACTCATTGAATTTGCAAATTGATGACACATGAAAGTGTGGCTCTAGGCTTTAGTTTTCAATTTAAGCCAGATCCTCAAAAATCGTCCCAGCTATGTTTTTGTTTGATCCATCTAGGGTTTGGTATTTCTCTCAGATCAACCCTGATTCTGCAAAAGGGTACAAAAGTCGGGGCATTGCTTTAGCTATGCTTGGGAAATGGGAGGAAGCTGCTAAGGATTTGCATGTGGCATCCAAGTTGGATTATGATGAGGAGATAAGTTCTGTGCTAAAAAGGGTACAGTATTTCATGGGTATATGTACTGGTATGCTACTTACAAAACTGCAATAATATATAACAACTGCAGGGTGTTGTGTAGGTTGAGCCCAATGCACACAAGATTGAAGAACATCGGAGGAAGTATGACCGACTACGTAAAGAGCGAGAAGAAATGAAACTCGAACGTGAGAGGCAGCATCGACAAGCTGAGACTCAGGTATTTGGTTTGAACAAACAAATTTGGTAAGTGACAGTATGCTGTGGGCGTTGACTTTTGTGCTCTTTCAGGCTGCTTATGAGAAGGGGAAAAAAAAGAGCAATCATCAAGTAGAACATCAGGAAGCATGCCTGGAGGTACGCCTGGAGGAATGCCTGGAGGTTTCCCTGGTGCTATGCCTGGATCTGTGCCTGGAAATATTGATATGAGCAAGATTCTGAATGTAAGAATGTGATCAATTTGTTTTATTTGCACTATCACGTGATAATATACATTATTTTGTTGGTTGTTTTACTTTGTGAAACAGGATCCTGAGCTAATGGCAGCCTTTAGTGATCCAGAAATCATGGCTGCTCTTCAAGATGGTATGTTTATTCACCATGTTTCTGTGTTGGATCTTACTTATTATGTTGTTTCATCAGTGTTACTTGTTTCTTCTCGTGATAGTTTCACATATGGATGACAAATTATATTGGTCTTTCGAGGTCCATGAGTACATGAGTATGTTCAGAATAGTAGATGAAACTTGCATGTCCTTTTTTTGGAAATGATCATATTGGTGTCTGTAACTTGGTCTAGCACAACTAAGGCCATAATGAAGCACAAAAGTAGTCTCTTAATCTTGTAATCCTCTTTTGCAAGCTGCAACTATTTCCCATGGTATATTTTTGTTTGCAACATTACATATAGGTCATCTTCTTTTCCCTAAGGATTGCTAAATTTGTGTTGTTAAAGCTGTGTCTGGTTTGTAATTTCTTTTCATGTTTTTGGCAGTATTGTTTATTTATTTATCTTTAATGGAAGGTCAAAAGCCTAATTATTAGAAGTTAGATGGATTGTTCCTGGTAGTACTGTAGGCATAGGGAACTCTATTGTTTCAACAAGGGTGGAGCAGTGCATGTCAGCAGCAACATCTAGTGAAAGCCCATTAAGAAAAAAAATAGAAAAGAACACTTATGAGGTCACTTTTTAACTGGTACTAAACTATTGACAACATTATAGTCAAGACTTATGGGAACACTTGTGGAAATTTAGAGCAATCACTAAGATGAATGGAAATTTATAGCAATCACTATGATGATTTGCAGTTTAAGAACCTGTAGAACATTGTGAATTTCAACCTTTATTTTGAGATAGTACATGGATGCGCTAACTGTTTTTTTTCTGCTGCATTGGATAATGGAATCACTATATATTGGTTGAAGAGTAAAAAGTGTAAGAAGGTTATTATATGTCTGTGTTTGCTTTATGATATTGTATAAACAAACGGTGCAACTGTAGTCTTTTCTCCTCACAATATTTAGCTGTTCGATTGTGGTTTTTCTTGTCGATATCAATTATCATGATTCTCTTATTCTAACCAATTGGTGAATTGTCATGTTGCGGTTGTGCAGTCATGAAGAACCCTGCAAATTTTGCTAAACACCAAGCAAACCCCAAAGTTGCTCCTGTGATTGCGAAGATGATGGCAAAATTTTCTGGACCTAAATAAAGGCGTCCTGATCTAAGGATGATCAATAAAAGACGGTTGAGTTTTTTTCATTTTTGTGAGTTGTGGTTACTTTTGGTTTCTGCGAGTAATTCTAGTGTAATTGATTGGTTGCTATAGTTGCTCCTGGTAAGATTGTAGGGACTCAAATGTTTAATTTGGGAGATGAGCGCCTGATGTGGTCATGAATGTAGCTTCGTGGAAAGTTTTCAAGTGCTCTTTGAGGTCCTTATAATCCTAAATGTCATGATCATGATTCGGGTTAATTATAAATTATTATTTTAGTTAAATCTTCTTAGAATTTTGATTTTAAAATGTAAAAAATTTATATTAAAATTTTAAAGTTATGAAGGCGAAATATTTAGTTTCATTTACTCAAGTATCATGAAAGTATAAAAATAATAAATAAAATAATAATTTTAATATTTTAATTGATAATGGTGGATGATATCGATGGTACTGTTGGAGGTTATGATTGATTGTTGTGGATGAGGAGAGCAGTAGGGTTGTTTTGTATTTGTGTCGGTGTCAATGTAGATATTAAGCGATTTTTTCATTGCTCGACAATTATATCAATGTCGACAATTATATCAATGTCGAGTGGTTCTTTTGTTGTTTTACATGTGTGTTGAATGACTTTTTCGTCGTTTGACAATTGTGTTAATGCATATATATATCGACCTACGATAAAAGGGTCACTCGATAATTGCGTCAACACTGGCGTTCCTTGCATATGCGTCGATATTAACGTAGCCACTCTGGTCACTTGGTATCTATGCCTATGCCAATACCGATGCAGATATAGAGCAATGAAAGGGTTATTCGGTAACTGTGTCGTTACAGATGTGAGCGATCCTCACCTCTTGTCGTATTTTTTTTCATTCACAATAGTCACTTATGGTCCTAGTGACATTGTAGTTCACCATCATCGAACCATCAATTAAAATAGTTTACCGTCAATTAAAATATTAAAATTATTTTTTTGTTTATTATTTTCGTATCTTCGTCAATAAAATTGATGATGTTAGGATAAATGAAATTATATATTTTATTTTTATAACTATAAATAAAATTAGATATTTTATTTTTATAATTATAAATAAAATTAATTTTTTTTTATTTTTATAATTATAAAAAAATTAATATAAATTTTTTAAGTCTAAAAATAAAAATATTAAGGAGATCTAACTATAAAGGTTAATACGCAATTAACCCTCACGATGATTCTAATGTCATCTACGATACTAATATCTGACATGCTTTCGTGCATGAGTTTTGTTCGTATTTGGTCAGTCATAAGACTATTTATCATTAAGTATGGGGAGGTTCAAAGTGCTTCGACTGAGAAGGCTGATCAACCGATGCACACGATTTGGGTTCTTATTAAACCCAATAAGCGAATCCTATGAGAATACCTAATGTTTCATTTGAATCTATTTTAAGTTGGATTAAGGAGTATTAAATCCAATTTAAATAACAATATTTAGAAGAAAAAAAATAGTCTAAGTGTGAATATTATTTGGTAATAAATGGAATGGTTATCAATTTCATCATGTCGAAATTGAAATCTGGATCGGATCCGAATACGTACTTTGTGCCGAACATGATTTACACGGGCGGCGGGTTTCGCAAACGAACCCGGCCCGTTTCTGTCCTCGCGGACAATTTCTCGGTACAGTTCGCCGCATCCTTATCCTACTCGGCCACATCGGGAAAGCAACCTGACAGCATCCCGTATTGGGCCTCCTCGCCGCCCTCTCAGGTACCGTCCGATGCCGTCTCCCTCTCTACTCGCGCTTCCCGACGCGCTCCCAGTTGATTTCCATTGTTTTCTTTCTAGTTCTTGGTCCCGTACATCCAAAGTTTGTTCCAGCGTGTCGATCCAAGCGCTCCAGGGCAGATTCATTGGCTCGCCCCATCCCAACTGCCTCCCTCGTCGTCACTACCAAGCCGGTAGATTGTGGTCTTGTGCTTTTGAGCTTTGGGGCGAGACCTTTTTCTTGTTTATCTGTGCATATTTTAAGCGCGCGTATGTTGTTCATGGCTTGCAGAAAGATGAGCCACGGAACGAGGTGGATGCACTACTTGAAGCAACTGAGCTCCGCGAATGTGCCCGCTGCTTTGATAGAGAAGGGCCAGAACCGCGTCATTGACGCTTCCCTCACTCTGATCCGCGAGAGGGCCAAACTCAAGGTGACCACGGCTGAAAGATGTCGCCTGCGAGTGTTTTGCTTGCCAAACTCGTTATTTGTTCCTTTGGAATTTGCCATAAAGATTTTGAATCGGGTGGCCACTGATCCTTAGACTGGTAGGAGAGGGTCCAATGTATATTTTATCTGGCATCCGCGCAAGTTGGATTAAGCTTTACATTTGAAACTGAACCAAAGTGTTGTGCATATATTAATTAGACAAAGAGAGGGTAGATAGATACAAGATTTAAATATATGATCTGCTTAGATAAAGAGAGGGTAAATACAAGATTTAAATATATGTTCTGTTTTGATACCATACTAGTGATTTTAATCAAGCTATCAGAAACCCCAAAAATTTAGTTAGGAGGATGCCCGATACATTTTATACTCTTAACAACTTGTTTTGTTCAGCATTAGACCTTTTCAACGCTGGTTACTGTTGGATTTGAATGTAATTGTTGGTATCATCAAATTTGTCATCTGTGTTAAGTTACAAGTGGAATATTAAAAGTAGAGATAATAATTAGAAAAGTCAGTAGTTTAACTTATCTTTTCTCCAAATGCTTTCAAACATGTTATCGTTGTATAAATATATCTAGGAATCTTCATGAGGTATATGGGATACATAGGCAGATTACTTGTGGAGAGAGGCATATGGGTGTTGAGGTAAATGTTTGCTTTCAATCAGATGCACTCGAGTGCTTTTGCACCTAGCAAACAGTTTAATATATTTTACCGACTTGAAGCTTTAGGCAGCAATGCAAATGAGCATGTGAGTTAGTCGCCAAATGCAGGCAAGCTGAGATGAACTTCATGTTTGTTGACTAGTATAGTAAAATGTGGATAAAAAACACTAGTGGTAGGTGCTATAACATATATGTGAAAGAGAATCATGGTATTTGTACTGAGATTCTATGTTGCTGATAACTACTGATGCACTTGTTTATGTTGCTTGTGTTTAGTGATCTTTCTGGCTGTAAGTTGCATGAATTTGATTCTTCTTCAACAAAGGAGCTGACAATCATCCATACACCTACTTTGTAAAGTTGGTTGCATTCTGCTGCTTATTAAAAAAATTAGCACTCAACTATTGGCATGTTTTATTAAATTAATTGCTTTTACATGCCACGTTCCTGTATTTTTTGGCCTCTCTGAACTGAATGAATCTTCCCTTCTTTTCCAGGGAGAATTATTAAGGTCCTTGGGTGGTGTCAAAGCTTCAACATCGCTCCTAGGGGTTCCATTAGGGCACAATTCTTCTTTCCTTCAAGGACCTGCTTTTGCTCCTCCTCGCATAAGGGAAGCTATCTGGTGCGGTAGCACCAATTCTACCACTGAAGAGGGTACTACAAAGTTCTTATTTTTGCTGTGCATTAATTTGATAGGAGTGTTCTTGTTAGTGAAACACATCAAGTAGATTTAACTGAATACTTCATGCTTGTAACTTTTCGTTATATGTTTTTCATCATTACCTCTAAATATGACCTATTTTCTTATTAGCATAGTATTTAAACTTATGTCAAGTAATTGATTACTTGTTTTTGTGGAAATGTAATCTTTCTCCATAGTTACATGTGACTTGCAAACAAATTCACTGCAAAATCACATAATATGTAGTTCTGATTTACCAATTCCACAATGTTTATACAATGTGATCTTGGTGACGCATACTATTTCTTGTTTAATCTTTCAGATAAGGCATCTACAAAAGATAGAGATAAAGTGTCGTGGAACTAGGAATAAGCAGTGTTTCTAGAGAGGTTTTTCTTAGTCTTAAAGGTCAAATAGTATACTAGAATCTCAAGGGCATGGATCAGAATGTTGATTTAGGTGACATGGGTTGAAGAAGTAACAGGGGATATTTTCTTGAAAATTTCCATATTACGCAACATGTATACTTTCAACTTTGAGTCTATGGCGAGTATAGTGGATAAGAAAATTGGAAGATGAAGAGATATGGGAAGAGATATATGAGGGGAGAGTAACAAGTTATTACACCATGAATAAAATCTTGAATGATAATAAATTAATTATGACAATCAGTGATGGATAACTTGAGGAAAATATGGAAATTCTCATAGAGTGATGTCTGAAATTGGTCACTAATGAACACTAGGACACCATCAGTGCTTTGGTTGGGTCTCCTCCAATGGTTGAGATAGCACATGCCAAATGAATAGTAAATAAATAAAAAGAGAAGAAGGTTCACGAGACATAGAAAGCTAAGGAAGTCAAAATGAAGTCTATAAAACAATCTGTTGGATTGTTTTTGGTACACGAATAAGAGTCATCTAAACAATTGTGCATAGTAATTGGTTATACAAGAAGATCATATACTTCTTTCACTAAAATGAATGTCATGACTCCATGGCGGATGGGTCAGGGTCCTCGATGTGATGATATTGTCAATACGGTACATCTGCAAGAAGCTCAACCCAGCTTCTTATAGAGCTTAGAAACATTTCTTTTAAGCTGTAAGTACCTCCAAAGAATCTTTTCTGAGTTGTTAACAACTCAAAAGAGCACTAAAGGGGGCCAAAGGTGCCCAATGTGAGGGACAAACTTGTTCCATACCCCCATCAGATCAGCACATACTGGTCCAGCCAGCACAGAGTACCATGATTTCTTGATCTGAGATCTTATTGATGGTTGAGTGGATTGGACCGGGCAGGCTGGATACCGATTCCTCATTGGAGTGGTACATTTTGGTCTGGCTAATACAAAGTACCAAGGTTTCTTGATCTGAGGTCTTATTTATAGTTGGCTGGATGGACTGGGCATACTGGTTCCCTGTCAGATTGGTGTGTACCAGTCTGACCATTAGAGTACAATGGTTTCTTAATTTAAGATTTTGTTTATGGTTGGGTGGATTGGACAAAATTTTTGTTAGTTTTGATGAACAATACAAAATAAATTAGTGTCATTACTAAATTTTTCTGGTAACATATAATATATTTTATTGTTCACAATCAATTACTTTGCTCTTTTCTTTTCATTCATATCCAGGCTTAATTAAGATGCAAATATTAGGTCACAAGGATGTTATCAAATTTCCATATGTTCACCATGATTCTAGACAGATGACTCCTTTTTTGTATACTTAGGTGTCTATCACTAGTATCCTGTATTGTTTAATTTACTTTATCTGATCAAATGCCTTGACTTAATCAAATACTATTCGGTAATTACACAGGTAAAGAATTAAATGATCCTCGTGTGCTGACTGATGTTGGTGATGTTCCTATCCAAGAGATACGTGATTGTGGGGTTGATGATGACAGACTAATGAATATTATAAGTGATTCAGTTAAGCTAGTGATGGAAGAAGTAAGACAAAGAGTTTCTTTTTTCTTCTATGAGAATCCTTTCTTAACTATTTGATTTCTGCTCTATGCTAATTTGAAATTTTTGGCTTAGATTATCATATCAGTGCATTATCTAACCTGGCTACTTCTAGATCTAGTAGATCAATCTTGCAAAGGACCAGCTTGTTATCCAACATGCAACCTATTCTCAGTTTCCATACATCATATAGTTATCCAACCAATTTCATATATAACCCCCTAATGGATGCAGCTCATTGTGGTTGCATGCTATGTGCTTTAAGAGAATTACAAAATATAGTTTGATATAGAAAGAGGTAAAATGGTCAAATAGGTCAAGCAACATGTTCAGCTGTAACAACATCATTAATTGAAATGCAGATTGAGCTGAATTTCATAGTTGATAAGAAAAGACTGTTTAGTACATAAGGCTCTTACCAATATGAGGTCTGGGGAGGGTTAGTGTCTAAAGCTTACATGGTGATTCACAGGTTCAAACTGGAGTCCTTAATGTGTGTAGTACACCCACCACTTTAGCGTGTTAGAATTTACCAGTAGTTATTAGCATTTATTTCACATCAATATGTTGATAGACTTCATGCTTGTCGAACCATGAACATGATATTAGGAATAAAAATGGATTGGATTTGTATCAGAGCACAAGTGATACAATCCAGCCCTGAAACTGTATCTCATGGTATACTGTTCTGAAAAGTATTTTCTGTTGATAAAAGTTCATGAGCAACCACAAACACGATGCACCATAAGCCAATGTCAACAACGGTCCATACTTCTACATTTATCTATATATCAACCGAAATGGTTGTCTATAACTTTTCCCCTTGCAACTCACATGTTGACATTGACATGCTGACAAATGGCAGGTATTTAGCCCGCTGCTAACTAGCATAGGGGTGTGCCACAATCATGATACCCTTAGTCGTATTTTTTTATCATATCAATTTCTGTTCATATTCATAGCCCAAGACATAGGATTAGGCTAGCAACTCAAAAATTCTGAAAATTTTCAGCAAAGAAGTTCGAATTGACTGATAGGATGACTAGGAAGAAAACTAATATGATCTCTTTATAGGTCACTAAGTGGGCCAATGAAAACTTGATGGATTCATAATACTAGATAACAAGACTATTATGCTAGAGGTGATGTGAGTGAATCTTTTCAAGAAAAATGTTATTATCAGGACCCATACTGGTTCTGTCCCAAACGGAATGGGTTTAAGCCATACCGATCCTAGTCCAGGTTGGTATGGATCCGAGTTGTACAGGTCGCTGTACCACTCGATGCACCAATACTATACTGGTCTAATTGGTCACCAAAATCGATATCAAACCAAGATTTAAGTCCTTGTCCCAGGCTACAATTATTTGATTTTCAAGTAGTTATTTACACAATCATTAGTAAGATGAATTTACTGATATGTATAAGAAAATATCCAACAGTTACTGGTATGCAAAAAATACCTTTTATAGTTATTTAATATTTTATTTTTGTGTTTAATATCATTATAATTACATGTCCTTCATTAAATGCATGCCCATTGGTATGCTTCTGTAATTCTTCTTTTGTTACCCTTTTAGCTTTTAGTTATGTGGTGTTGTGTTCTCTGTTCTTGCTGACCTGACTAGATTTTATTTGCAGGATCCACTCCGTCCCCTGGTTTTGGGTGGTGACCACTCCATATCATTTCCAGTTGTTAGAGCTGTATCAGAAAAGCTGGGTGGGCCTCTAGATATTCTTCATTTAGATGCCCATCCAGATATATATGATGCTTTTGAGGGAAATAAATATTCACATGCTTCTTCTTTTGCACGAATAATGGAGGGAGGTTATGCTAGGCGCCTGCTACAGGTAATATGTACCTTCAATTGGTTAATTGTGAGTATGAATGTTATGCTAGACACGTGCTCGAGGTACTATATACCTTTAATTGGTTAAGTATGAGTATGCCAATACGTCACAGTATTAAACATTGACTATAGGACACTGTTCCCGATTTTTGGGTTATCAGCACAAAATTAAACCATAGAACACACTTTTTATTATCAGATATTACTGATTAGATGTAAACTCTCTCCATGTTTTTTGATGTGTTTTTTGTTGATTCTTGTATTTTTCTTTTGTAGCATCAGTTCATGATGACATGATGTGAAAATAATTTTTTAGTCTGCAAAAGCTTACTGTCATATGGTTTGTTGTTTATATGCTTGCAACTTATGTTAATCATGATCAAGGAAATTGATTTTCTGATGTTAAAGTTTCTCCATTTAACGCACACAGAAAGAATAATAGGAACTCTATGATCTGTAATATTGAAAATGTACACTAGGACAACTAAATATCAATTAACTTAAGACATTTCTCTGTTGGATCTCTGTGTGTGCAAACAAATAGGTTCCATGTGGGAAAACACTGACCGTTAATGTAAAAGTTTTGCCTGCATGGACACCTGTGCTGGTGGGATTTAAGCTGTTTAGATGAGGGTGTTGAATGTCTATGTGCGTGCAGATATGCTTCTCTTTCTGTTTACTTGCATCCCTTTCTGAAATCTTCCTTGTTCTTATCTTAATTTAGGAGTTATATCTGTGAACCCTTTAAGGAATCTCGATAGACTTACCAATCATCTGTAGGGAAATGCTCTAACCTAGTTACTGCTTGCATTTATCTTGCAAGAACCTTGGTTGACATATACGAAGGCATGCAGCTGCATACTTCACAGACAGTAATAATCTCTTTTCATTGTGTATAAAATAACTTAAGATTAAGAAATAATTCAGTGTTTTTCTATTTAGTATCAAAGTACCTCTAGAAGACTAAATTTGCTCATCTGAATAACTTCATTGCATAATTGAGAGAGAAAATAATCTTAATTCTAACCAACCTAGGATATGTTGTTGTCCTGCTCAGTAGTTCACCAGTCTTTAGCCTTGGTTGAACCCCTTTATAGATCACATAGGGGTCTGCAGCTATACAAGGCTGATCTTAACATAGTTGATTCCCAGTTCAGCTTGGAGTGGGGTTGCTACTGACAAACTGGTTGGGGCCACTGATTAGGTACTGGTCAACCTCAGTCCTATTATGATTTGGATTTATTTGTACCGAGTCTGGGTCTGCTTCCCCTCTTTCCTGTCTTGACTAAGAGATTGTTTCCTCTGTTGATATGGGGTTTCAATCTTCTCAATTAGGAAAAAATTTCTTGCCGTTATTTTTATATTGTCTTTATTTTTTATATTATTGTCACTATTTTTACAGCACATTTGAGAGATTTTTCATTGCTCCTTGTATAAAAATGTCCATATTTTTTCCTTATAAAACTTGTCATTTTGCTGAGATAAGTCATATTAATAATTCGCATTTCTTATTCACCTGCTATATAGTACTTTAATGTATGGTATTTATGCTCTTATTTCTAGAATGTCTCACTGTATGTGAGATATGCTTGTAAATTGCAAACAACACTATACAGAGCATCTGATTTTCAGGTAGGAATTAGATCAATCACTCGTGAAGGGCGTGAACAAGGGAAAAGATTTGGGGTTGAGCAGTACGAGATGTGCACCTTTTCAAGAGATCGACAAATTTTGGAAAATTTGGTACTGAATCTTGTTTTCTCAAACAGTTAATTGCTTGTAAATGCATCTTGGTTTGATGGTTCAACTAGAAACTCTAATCCATGCTTTACTAACCAATTGTTCACTCTTGTAAACTTCAATGCTAATCAAATTACTCTAAACTTAAGTTGCAAGGCCAATAAATTAGAAGCATGCTTCAAGCCAAACTGGCTGCATCTTTATGCTTGTGTGCGTTAGCATGACCATATCTGCAAGATTAGATAATTTGTAATTATGGCATCTAGAAGGAATAAAATCTTCTCTGGAGGATATTACAGTAAGAAGTTGAATGCACTTAGCTGAGTTGGAGTCTTGACTTTTCAAGCATGTCTGAATCATGAACAATGACATAACACTGTGTGATCTCATGACATGGATTACACTGGTCACCATTCTGGTTTTACTAAATGATCTTTCTGCCAAATTGTTCAAACAGAAACTAGGGGAAGGCGTCAAGGGTGTGTACATCTCGGTGGATGTGGATTGCCTCGACCCTGCATTTGCCCCCGGAGTGTCACACATAGAGCCAGGAGGTCTATCATTTCGTGATGTACTCAACATTCTCCACAATCTGCAAGCTGATGTTGTGGCTGCAGATGTAGTGGAGTTCAACCCACAGCGTGACACCGTCGATGGAATGACGGCAATGGTGGCTGCAAAGCTGGTAAGAGAGCTTACTGCAAAGATTTCCAAGTAGCATAGACAGTGCCTCCTCATTTCCCACCATTAAATAATATTTCCAGCGATCATGGTCATGAATCTGTGCTTGCCCAAAGCTGAGCAGGTAATTCTTGGATATCGAAGTAGTTTATATTAACAGCAGCGTATTGTGCTGTGCAGACTTCTATTTGTCATTAGTCTTTATATTTCAAGACCTTAATCTTTTTCTTGTTTTAACCTGCACTATTCCTTGTTAGCAAATTTCACAAAGGTCCATAAAATGAAGAATTATTTGGAAAAGACAGATCGAAGATTGTAGTTAAGAAGCCTTATGTCTGTCTGTAGCAAGTAGTCCACTTGCCTGCGTTTGGTTGTCGACAAATAGGCATCTTTGTGGGGTTGTCCATTGGGACATTTCGGTGGTTAGTGCACAATTATCTAAGTGATAGATTTAAATATTTGAATCCGTGTAAGTGTGTTTTCAGCAATTTAATTTAATTATCATAACATTACTCTAGCTAGAATTGACTAACATTTAACGGTAATCAGCAGAAAGCATATATATATATAAGAGTGTTTTGCACTGAGGAATCTGTCTGCTGAAATCAACTTGGTTAGTGAGAGCTTAATGATTTACAAAGATAATTGCAGAGATGAATCTTTTCAATAAAAGGGTTTTTTTGGTTAATTATATATTATCTTCTATATTTAGATCTCGTAATTTTTATACTTAAAAAATTTATATTAAAATTTTTATTGAAAATGAAACAAATAATTTTAGTTGTCTTAACGTTGCATTGACGAAAAATATTATATGGTACGAAATTGATAGAATAAAGAAAATAATATTATTTATTTTATTTTAAAATTATAAAAATTTTAATATAATTTTTTTAAAGTATAGAAACATATTCGCTCTAATAACTAACTATATAGATAGAGTAACACGTAATTAGCCCTTCTTTCCACTAAGAGATCTATCTCGCAGAGTGGTGGTCAAGTCAACGAAGCTGAGATCATGCCACGCCGTGCCCGTGATTCAAATGCTTCGATGGTGTTGCCATCTCGTTAATGATGGGAAGCAGTGGTTGGCTATTGAAGCCACACATATTAAACACGAGAGCGACTTCAGGGACGGTTGAGGCACGCCATAATAACGTTGGGCGGAAAGTTTAGACTCTTTGAACTTTGACTTGACAGCCGCTGCCGTGAGAGATCATTCACAGTCAACCCCGTGGAACGGTCAAAGTCCTTCTATTCCGTCAAAAAGTATAGTATATATAAATATACGCCATTATTGTTCCTTTAAATTTCAATTTAACAATATATCTACAGAGCTTACTGACAGTTAGTTATTCGACTATTCAATTTTCAAAATTTACGAGTATTTTTGTTTTTTTCTTTATTGTCTATGGATTTGTAATCTACCCCATAATTGCACGGCACTTTGGCGTACCAGTCTGTGTTCCCGCTCACGTGTCCACCATAGTGGGACCCGCACGTTCCGGTCGAAACAGGTATCAGGAGTTCCGTCACGCAAAACCGACGAGCGGCCGTTTCGCCGTTCAATAATATACCGGAGAAAATAGAAATCCCATCATTGTTGACCTCTTCGGTCCGTCGTCAAGCTCCCCAAGGAGGACCCTTTCCCCCCGTCCTCCAATCCAATTCAATTCCGTAAACAGCTTCGCTTGTCTCGATCTCTCCCTCTATTGTTATATATACATCAGGCAGTTCGCACAGCTCCAGTCTCAGACGACCATCGCTTCGATCTTTAGCTAGGGTTGGGGCTCCGCAGGTGCGTCAGAATCACCTCGTCTTTACCATTACTTTTGGATCGCTGGGCTGCTATTTGGAATCTGTTGTCTTTCTTAATCTGTCGACTGACTAGAATTACATGTAAAAGCCCTCTTTTTGCATTGAAGAGAAATTAGATCGAGTCAATTATGATTCCAAAGAGAAAATATGTTTCGTCTTTTGCTTTGTTCGAGGTGGAATTTTGTTTTAAGTGTCGATCTGCTGAGGAATTGATTTGGGAGCCACTTTTGTAGGAAATCGCCCTTCATTTCAGATAGTTTTTTTTTTCTCTCTCTTTCCTCCAGATTTACAGAGTGCCATACGAAGGAATTGGTTGAAGTTTTGTTTGGTGGTCTGCAGCTGTGAGTTTATTGGCGTATTCTGCCCTCTGTCGAGTTGACTGCGAAAGTTATGGCTTCGGCTGTTATGAATATGACCACAGCAGCGTTGGATTGGGTGTCGGTGGCTTTTGATGCCCCGCTTGCCCGAGCAGTTGTCTTTGGGGTGCATATAGATGGTGGGTTGTCTTCTTCCTGCGCTATGAGAATTGAAATTTCTCCTTTCCTGATACAATTAAGCGTTTGTTTAGTGGCTAAAATTTGACTTTTCTTTGGTTTTGCTTGTGATTGAAGGGCACCTGGTTGTTGAAGTGCTACTTGTTGCGGTCATACTGTTCCAGCTCACCAGAAAAAGCTATAAGCCTCCCAAGAAGCCACTTACAGAGAAGGTTTGTCTACAATTTTTGAGTTTCTGCTTTTCTAGATCGATGGTCTTTTGATTCACCAGTTTCTTATAATGAACTATCTATATATGAGATATCTGCACACTTATTCTAGAATACTTATATACATAAGAATAATCTTGTCTTGAACATTCTTCCTTTTTCTTTCCTTTCTTGTTTGCCTATGTTGAACATTTATGTTGTTCATGAAGTGAGCTTGTTTTTAAATGATAAATTTAAGAGAAGACATTTGAGAATCTTATGTCTCATGACACAGGAAATAGATGATCTTTGCGAAGAATGGGTCCCAGAACCCCTTCATCCATCTATTTCAGAGGATATGAAGGCTGAACCGCCAACACTGGAAAGGTAAAATGACTTCTGAGTTTCTTTGTAATGTTCATGAATTTTAAAGAAATCTTTTCTTAGTATATGCTTGGCAAATTGATCTTTGCTAATTAGGATGTATGTGAAGTTTATAGTATTAAGCTCTAGATAATCGTGTGCTACAGTGTGTTTCTTGCATATTAACACATGACCTGTAGCTTCAAGTATTTTACTTAATCTATTTTGGTGGAGAATATCATTCAAACTTTTTACTTTTTGGGTTCTTATGTGACTTGAATTCAGCTTTTTTTTTTCCCTCCTTTTAATTGGGATTGGAGTTCATATTTGTGGCAGATTATTTTTTTGGAAGAAACTAGGTGCTTCTTTTCAAAAAGATTCTAGTAGTTATACATATTATTCAATTATGAAAGGGATTGAAAAGGGAAACACAAGTTATGGGTATTTTAAACAGGACCAAGAGAGTGATTGGTACCAACATTTAAACCAATACTGGTCCATTTGTTACGAGCCTAATATGATGTCCTTTGAATGCTGTAGATTTGACGAGCCTAACTGATTTGTTTCATCCATGAGTCTCAACAATTCTGATTCGGGTGATTTAAAATATTTTGAGGCAAACACTAGAAAGTAAAGGTCGAAAGGGTAGATCAGTGGACATTATTCATAGTGTCCGAGATGGTTCAAATGGAAAGGCATATCAGGAGTTTTGTGTGTCTTCTCCTTGGATTTCAAATGAAGAGGAATTCAAATTATCTATTTTCTAATTCCTGGTTATGGTTTCTAGGTTCTCCTTGTTGATCTTAAGTTATCTGAAAGGCATATCAGGAGTCTTGTAGGTCTTCCCCTTGGATTTCAAATGAAGAGGAATTCAAATTATCTATTTTCTAATTCCTGGTTACGGTTTCTAGGTTCTCCTTGTTGATCTTAAGATATCTGAAAGTTGAAATTCATATGTACATGGAATTTTGTTCCTTCTAACAAGGTACTGTTTGATACAGTGCTGCTGGGCCCCATACGATAATTGATGGAAAGGAGGTTGTGAACTTTGCATCAGCAAATTATCTTGGATTAATAGGCAATGAGAAGATTATTGTAAGAATTAAATTTTTATTTTTTTCCTCTGCATCAATCTGTGTTAATATTTCTCAATGAAGTTTTCATAACAAGTATCTGTTTCAGGATTCATGTGTCAGTTCCTTAGAGAAATATGGTGTCGGCTCTTGTGGTCCTCGTGGCTTCTATGGAACAATTGGTATGTCTCATTCTTTTATCAAGAATTTTAATGTGTTTTCTTGTTAACTTCTGAAACATCACTAAAATCCTTGTTCTATAAATTATTACCATTATTGCAGATGTCCACCTCGATTGTGAGGAGAGAATTGCAAAGTTCATGGGTACCCCAGATTCGATCCTCTACTCTTATGGAATCTCAACCATTTTCAGTGTCATTCCAGCATTTTGCAAGAAAGGAGATATCATTGTTGCGTAAGTCAATTTTCCCTTGTAAAATCTTTATATAAGTGTTAATCTTAATGTTAATCACATTGTTTTAAGATGTGCCATGTTCTATCATTTGAAAGTGTGAACTTCTCTTCCATTTTCTTCTTTCCCAGTTGGAACAAATGTGGTTCCATTGTGTTCTCTACATTCTAGAACTTCCAAAATTTTGTAATTTGCATAGACATTTTCTCTTTGTGCTTACTTCAGACATGAACTGGAAATGATTGTCACAATTCTGTATTAGTGTACATCATGTAGCATTTGAGGGTAGGTCTATCCTCACCTTAAGGCTGATCCATGACGAGGGGGACAATCATATGGGTTGTTCACATCTAAACCCTCTGTGGATCCCATAGTGGTCGATTTCCTTTTCATAGAGAAAGAAACATGATGGTTCTAATGAATCAAGAATTTTCATTTATAATGATGATCACGTGTTTTGATGTCTTATACGCTTTGGTTCCTTGTTTGTATTGTTCCACTTGAGTGATTTATTTGTATTGTTTTCAGCATGATGTACTGCTTGGACATAAGACAAATTCAATTGTCCTTGGCAGAATAATTTACTAATGCATTATCTTGTTTTTACAGAGATGAGGGTGTTCACTGGGGAGTGCAAAATGGGCTTCATCTCTCAAGAAGTACCGTTGTTTATTTCAAACACAATGACATGAAATCACTAGAGAACACTTTGGAGAAATTGACTCGGGGAAATAAGCAAGCTGAGAAGATACGGCGTTATATTGTTGTCGAGGCTGTATACCAGGTATGCATGAGAAAATGAGCCAATTGTAATCTTTTTACAGTACCTTACTGTATCTGATATACATACTTGCCTGTTCCATTCAAGCATTTGGGTTTTACCTTCTTACTGCAAATTCTGTTGTCAGTCTATAAAATAGTTCATTTCAACCTGTAAATTTTTGTGGCCTTATAATAATCTCAAACTCCTCCTGAAGTATACTTTTTAGGAGGGTATGTCTACAATTTTTTCAGCTTCAGCTTACTAGATTTTAAATGGGTTTCAGCTATAATTTTTAAGCATCTGAAGCAATACTATTTCAGTTCTTACATCTAAGAGTCTATTGTGGTTTTGATGTGTTCAGAATTCTGGTCAAATAGCCCCATTGGATGAGATTGTCCAGCTAAAGGAGAAATACCATTTTCGGGTGATATTGGATGAAAGTCATTCATTTGGTGTACTTGGAAACTCTGGACGAGGTCTTGCTGAATACTATGGAGTTCCTGTAAGTCAGCTTTTAGTATTTGTTTCATCCACAGACTACATGTCTGTCTACCAAGCCCTCTAAATTTGATTTATAATGCAGGTTGAGAAAATTGATATAATAACTGCTGGTATGGGTAATGCATTGGCAACTGATGGGGGTTTCTGCACTGGAAGTGTCAGAGTTGTTGATCACCAAGTAGGGAAACATTGATTTTTATCTGAATTGCACAATCCTGTAGGCTCAACACTTGACTGACTAGTGGAATTTTGATTTTGCAGCGTCTGAGCAGCTCTGGATATGTGTTCTCTGCATCTTTGCCTCCTTTTCTTGCAAGTGCTGCTGTTTCTGCAGTAAATTACTTGGAGGGTAATCCCTCTGTTCTTACATCACTGAGGAGTAACATTGCTCTATTATGGAAAGGTGAGTTCTGTGATAAATTGCACGATGCTTTTGCTGGTTGTGTGCACATCTTTTTATGTCATATTATGTATTGCTATAACTAAAGACGATTAGATGTGTCACCTTCTTATCTTTAGCTCTCTCTCTCTCTCTCTCTCTCTTTTCCCCTCCCTACTGCCATACCTTGCTTCTTCTCCTCCCTCCTTTCTCCTCTCTCCTCTCAGTCAACTGGATTTCCCATGGAATAAGTACCCAGGAGAAACCTGTAACCAAGAACTTCTGGTGTGATGGTATGCTTCATGCATTATGCCTATTTATGGTTCAGGTTTATGTATTTTGATCTTAATGGGCCCTGTCATAAGGTCCCTTCCATCTGCATAGGTTTTCATTTCTTTTGAAGTTCTCTCCAAATAGAGCATCCTTGTGCTAGCCTCCAAACAGTGTGATCATTTTGGGATGACCAACCATGCGACCATTCATTACCTGGATTAAATCTCACCTTTTGCGGCTCTTTCCAGTCATGATCACCAACAGACAAGATATGGGATCTAGACATGTACCCATTCGGAATCTGAAATGTTGGCCTTGTTATCTAGTAATTGCAAATTGTAATTTGATTTGCTACTGGGCATCAGAAACTGTAGGATCTCATGGCAATCAATTATTGGTGAAGTTTTTTTAATGTTGACTTTATTTTACATATTTGGATGCTGCATGAAGCACCAAGTGTTAACAGATACCTTGTCTAATAATCTCATGACATGATTTTGTAGGGTGTGTTTGTTGATACTTGTTATCTTGGTAGTTGTCTGGGTCTGATAAATTTATTGCTCTATTGGAGTGCAGGATTGTCAGATGTACCAGGATTGACAATTGGGAGCCATCCATTATCGCCCATTGTCTTCCTTAAACTGAAGAAGTCAACAGGTTCCTCCAAGGGTGACTTGGAACTTCTCAACAATATTGCTGATAGGGTGAGTTAAGTTTTAAGTAGATATGTAATAACTGTGTGCATCACAAAACAGTCTCTGACAATTCTTGGCCATAGCAGATGCTGAAGGAGGATTCTGTTTTTATTGTGAGCACAAAAAGGTCTGTTCTGGATAAGTGCCGCCTTCCAGTTGGTATTCGCTTGTTTGTTTCAGCAGGCCACTCAGAATCTGACATTCGGAAAGTATCAGACTCATTGAGGAGAGTTGCAACAACGACTCTGGCCGAGCATCTTTGAGTTTACCTCACTGCAAAACCCCAAGTAACTGTTTGATTTGTCCATTTTACATTCCTGTATCCTATTTTAGTCATTTCATGGAAAAGGTCAAAGAAAAGAGAAAAGAAGAGCGGAGAATCGCAGGGTTTCAAGATGACTGTCAGATTAATAGTTTATTGTTCTTCAACCAAATTTTAGACTTGATTGATTGTCCTTCTGTGTAGATCAAGAAAGGTACAAATCTGTTGATTTTTGTTGTCTTATTGAAGTAATTTCCTTGTAATTCGATGGATGGGAATAAAATAAATGCCAATTCTTCTCGATTATGAGCTTGTTTGAACAATTGAACCCAAGTGCACGTGTTTTATATCTGCATTTCTTATTGGATTCACATCACATGCATTGTCTTGCTGTTCCATTTATCGAATAGCACAACTAAGTTTGCTATTATTATCATCTACTTCAACATATACTTATAATTCAGTCTATGAAATAGTGGAACAATGTGATTTCAGTTTGACAATTTTGATGTTTGCACCAAACTACTATGGCATTTCTGCCAAACAAAGATTTAGAAAGCCCACTGATTGAGGTGAACAGATTGCAAAACCAATCATCTCTTCATCTTTCTAAATGCTAGCAATCATTGGTTAGAGAAAGTTGTTCTTGACATGAAATGAGTGCTTGCTAACTGGAAACACAGGCAATCAATGTCCACATGAACACTGAACATTGCTACCATCCTGGTCTTGTACGTTTATTTGCCTTTTCAATAACCTATGGGGGCCTCATTTGGTGGATTTTGAGCACCCAAAGAATGGCAACCTATACCAGATGGCATAAAATATTTAGTCTATTTTTCATACCAGAAACATATGATTACTGCCATAACAAAAGGATCTCCTGATTGAAAAGCTGCTTTTCCCCACATATTTTAGTTATCATTTTTTCCATTGACATACTACCCAAGTTGCAAAACTCATAATTGTTTAGGAAATTAGATCATTTCCTGTGCATCCATCTACTGAAAACAGAAATTTCCTTAGCTGCTTTGCTTCAGATATCTTGTAGTTGGTGATCTAGATGGTAGAAATGTCACCATGAAACATGTTTGCATCAGGATCTGTTGGAATCAATCACATAAAGGAGGTGTGTTTTCTGGTGGCCTGGTTGGAGTATCCCTAGTGAACAATAACTGGGCAATATCAGGGAAATGAAGGATGGTTGCATCAGTGATCAATAACTGGATTTAGAGGTGATCAGAATTATTCTTATTGCCCTCAAAATATCCATAGAGCTGACTGACATTTATCTGTGCTTCATGATTGCATAATATTATATTAACATTTGGCCACACTGCAAGTAACCCAAGGAAGCATGACATGCACCTCCAATTGCTCACCCAACAGCACTAAACTCTGTGGCAAAAGGAAATGACTTTTGGGGACCCCATTCACCTCTAAAGCAGGTGTACTAATGATTCCCAAAACACTACAAAAAAGTTCTTTTTCTGTTCTCTAAAATCCCCCTACCTTTCTTTGTCCTCTTCTTGTCATCAAATTTGATGAAACATAAAGTAGACATAAAAGCTAAATGTTCACCATCTTTGTGTGTAGCAAAATTATAGCAAAACTAATTGTTCCATGTCCCTTTTCTTTATTTTCTTTCAATTCATTCATTGTCAATCTAAGAAGTCAGTGACAAGAAAAAAAAAAGGATAATAGAACTATTCCTCTCTCTTATTTTTCCTCCACCTTTCAAATCTTAACATAATACTGCAGTCCAAACATCAAATGCAACTCTAGATAGTACATATACTGTTCCATTTTGGATGGATTTGTATGATGGGCAATTGCTTGTAGAGGAAATAGATTTGATGTGGGACAGTACAGATCATATACATGAGATTATGGCTCACTTGCATTAGCATTTGACTTGATTTGTTCTGTTTCTCATGTCATTATTGAGTTTTCTGGGATGGATTAGTTGGACATTGTCTCCTCTCCTCTCCTCTCATCACCATGTACACATCCTTTTTTGCCTTTTAGCTAAATATTCCACACTTTCTTCATTTTTTTTTAATTTATATATTGTTGAGTAAGAGTTTCAGATTTAATTTAATTTTTTTTCCCCCTTTATAAAAATCTAGATAACATATTTAGAACTGAGAGCAGAGCAATCATTCCTTGTCTACTTCAGTTCAGTATCCCATTACATCTTCCCAACCTTTTCCCAAGGATGTTTAATTTAGCCTCTCCTCTTTACCACTTTAGCCAGGTTGAGGTAGCAAACAAACATCAAACTCCTATATTAGATTACAAGATGTGATCCCACTTTTAGGTCCAGATGCGTAGAAGTTAGAGGATCAAAATGCATCCCTCCCACCACTTACCATGGGCAAACCAACCCACACACCGATTTCAATGAACTCCCTACTCTGAGACCCGAAGAACTACTTACCTTTTTGGTATAGCTTGGCATGCACAGTCATTCAACTGATCAAGCTAAAAAATAGTGACAAGAGATCTTTGTACGATATGAGAATTATTTCCTAGTTAAATCTCCATAGGTTTATGATAAAGATCGACAAACGATCCTTTAATATCTTGATGAAATTTACGTTACGAGCGTCCGATGACAATGTCATTTGATACGAAAGGTAAATAATCCTAATATATCTATATATTGAGTAGAGAGATGACAATGTCATTTGATACGAAAGGTAAATAATCCTAATATATCTATATATTGAGTAGAGAGAGTTCGCCTCTCATTTGGTATCCGCAATCTAACCGTAACGATTATAAAAAATATTCTATAAATATTTTAAAATTTAAAAATATTTTTTCTTTGATTAATATGATGGGTTTGATTTGTTACCTTTTGTCTTTTTCTATTATTATTGATATCCACCAATCATATATACGATTGTGCTTAGATCCATACACCATAAATGCTAATCCTGCAATATAATTAGAGAAATATATGGAGAAAGAGGAGACACCATGTACCATTAAACCCTATCGACAAGTCAAGAGCTGCGTGGGGTCTTCCACGAACAATTGCCTAGCTTTGTGCATGATCATGACTCGCACACCACCCTCCCTTCTCATATTAAAGCCTTCCTCAACCTCTTCTCCTTCCCACCGCTAACTCCTCTTTGCTTACCTTCCGATCTCCACAGCAAATGTCTCTTCTCGTCGCCACCTCACCCAAGGACTGCTCCAAGAAAGGATTCCACCTCAACAAGAAGCTCCTCTACGGCTTCTCCGCCCTCCTCGTCTCCATCCTCTCCCTCGTCTTCCTCGTCTGGCTCATCCTCCACCCCACCAAGCCGGAATTCTACCTCAAGGACACGGCCGTCTACGAGCTGAGCCTCGCGTCGCCGCCTCGCCTCCTCAACTCCACCATCCAAACCACCATCATTTCCAAGAACCCCAACGCGCGCGTCGGAATCTACTACGACCAGCTACGCACTTACGCCGCCTACAAAGGGCAGCAGATCACCGCCGACTCCGCGCTGCCGCCGTTCTACCAGGGCCACCAGGACATCAACATCTTGTCTTCCTCGCTGAACGGGATCAGCATGCCCGTCGCACCGTCGTTCGGGTACGAGGTCAGCCGTGACCAGACTGCCGGGAAGCTGTACCTCGAGCTGAAGCTCGACGGGAAGCTCCGGTGGAAGGTGGGCAGCTGGGTGTCTGGGAGTTACAGGATCGATGTGGATTGCGTTGCTGTGATAGTGCTGAGACCCGGGGGCGATCCAGGACCGATGAGTTTGGTGCAGGGGACTCGGTGTTCTACCACCGTTTGATGGCCAGTTAGTCCTTATGGTCTTTCCTGTTGTTGCTGTTTGGGAAGTGGAGATGACATGGGGAGAGTTAAAACCTGGCTTGCTTTCTGTGGGGAGGAGGATGATGGGGTTGTGAGTAGATATCGTGAGTCGAAGCATGCAGCTAATGGCAGCAGCACTTGCTTGGTTATCTGCCTTCTTCTGTTCATTCATTTCGGTTTCTTCTCCTTCACTTGTTTGCTGCTGTAAGGTTAGTAGTGGGGGACAGCGAAGATAAAAGCTTGGGCATGGTGGGCAAAGGGAGTCATCTATAATTCATCTGTTTCGGATACCATTACAAGAAGGAGATCGATCGGGATAACTATAACTATAGATATTATCTTTGGTGAAACCTTTTAGAAGTAGTAGTAGCTTTAGATATTATCTTTGGTGAAACCTTTTAGAAGAACACACCTGAGAGTAAAGCTGATGATGACATTGATTGGGGACTGCAAACTTTGAAGTCTGTAGCAGAATTATTGCTCCAATTTTTGGTTGGTTGGTTTCAAGTGGGCATCGCAATCGAGTTGTCTTTCATTTCAGTTCATTGGCCTTTAGCTAAGAGTGTGTGGTTTAGGCCACACCAACTTTGTAGTTTGTCGGATCACAAACCCAAGAACAGAGATTTCTACCTATTTAGTCTGATCCAACTTTAACCCACCCAACATGTCTTCTCCTCTCCTCATTTCTACTATTTATGATGGGTTTCATGCCCTATTATTTTTTTAAAAAATTAAATCCTTATTTTTTCACAAGGGATTAGAAAAAATATTAATTATAAATTATCTCCTATAATTAACTATATTTAGTATTTTGATTCTTATATTTTTAAAATTTTAAACTGAGATTTCTATATACTTTTAAAATTAAAATATTTAATCATGTTTCTCCTCTCGTCGTCGATCTTGTTGACGAAAATACTACACGTGCTCGGTGATAAATCGAAATAAGATAAAATCAACACGTGCTTGCTTAGTGAGAAATCATACGATATTTCTATTAACAAAGTTGATAACATGAGAAGAAATGAGATTAAATATTTTACTTTCTTAATTACAATGTTGAAAGTATAAGAATCATAATATTTCACTTTCATAATTCTAAGAATAATATATACTTAGTCTAAAATAATAATAATATTTTGTATGAGTGAATAGATTTTTTTTTATAAAAGTAATGAAATTTTATATTTGGGCCTAGAAAACTCTAATTTCTTAATGAATAATAAAAACTTATAATTCTAATTATAAAGATAATATTCATATGATTCGACACTATTTATTTATGTCTTAGAACATAAAATTCAAAGAAAAAAAATACTTATCTCGATCGAAAACTTTACATCGATTTTTTTTTTAATCTCAATCTCTCCGGATATAACATAGAAAAAACTCATAAACATTCAAATTCTTATTATTCTTTTTTATCACACCATATGAATAAACATAATAATCAATCCTTTTATCTCCAAAACCCTCTTCTTCTACAAATAAGAATCTCTTCGAATTTACTTTTTTTTTTTCTTTTACCTTAAGAAATCCAAAAACACTCGTCACTCGTCAATTCAAACACAATGACAATTGTTAGTGCAAGTAAAAAGATGTTGGAAGAGTTACAAGCAAGGAGACAAACCACGGCGTCGCTATCTAATGATGGAGTTGTTGGGGGCACGGCGCTCACATTGCAGAGGGTGACGCCATGGCCCCCCTCCTTCCCCGTGGAATGGAAGAGTGATCACATTGCAGAGGGGTGAGCGAACAGTGTGTTTCAGAGCAGCAGAGCAGTGTTTCCAAGTGAGTGCAACGCAGAGAATCGTGTCAGGAAACGAACAGCACAACTCTGACAAATGGCTAAAGGTTTGGGGTCCATCACCGCCGATGGTGATCGACTTGGATGGCGCCTTGGTGGCTAAGGAACTCCGGTTTTTGAGTGACGGAGGAACTGTAGATTTGAAGTCTTCTGCCACAAGACTTATCAAAAGCTAAATAAGCTGTCATTCTGTTGATCACTTCTGTCTAAAGAGAAATGGTCCATTGTGATGATTACATGCAAAATGATGAGCTGAAAACAATGCTAGATTCACTCTCATGCATATCCAATGCATCATGTTCTTTGCCTCTATCCTCATGCTAGATTCACTCTGATGCTATTCGTCATCAACAGATTATATATAATCTGTCTTTCGTAAATGATTCCTTCTCTCTCATTTTCTTTCACCAATGTACATGACTTGGGCAACACAGACAAACAGACGCATCACACATCATAAACTGTACGTTCTCAGCTGCATTTCGAAATGTTTAGTACTTCGATCATGATTGATTCTCTGTATCATGGTTTGACTGTAGAGGTCACTGCATCAGCTACGACTATCGAGAGCCAATGTCAGGTTTTGGGCAGATTTTGCCCACCAAAATGTGCTCGTATCAGTTCTTTGTCTATTCCCAGAATCATCCACTTGCTCAGAGCACATCGATTGATGTCATCTGCAATCTAATGTCAATGTTTGCTTTGCTCAGCAGCAAAACTAATGTCATCCGCATGAAGTTGGTGCCACTCACGTACGATCTCGGAAGAACTGTGGAGTAGCGGGGGATCATTTACCGACGGGGTGAGAAGCCTGGGCTCCGCGATGCGATCATGGGCTCGTGTCGCATGGGGCTCAAGTACCTCGAAGCTGTGGGCGGCGTGAAACTGGTGGCGAAGAACAGGACGCCTCTCTTGTGTTCGTGCATGGAGGCCTTGACGTCGTCAAGAGACCATGATCCCATTCGATGTGATCCGATAGTGTGCGCGGGCTGTCCGCGAGATGACTTCCGCATCATCTTCAGCTCGATTTACGTGTTACTTGGTATCGATCATAGCAAAAATTCATTTTGGAGTCTCTTTCGTAATTGTTTCCCGGCGAGCTTTTTCTTAATTTCCTGTTCGAATTACCCCCGTGAAAGATTCGATTGATCGGTTCAGTAGATGGTTTCCATTTGGATCGGGAAGAACATGATGATACCTTTCATGAGAAGAACAAAATTTATATGTTAGCTAAATGACAACACATATAATCGAAATATTGAGCTACGATTTTACAGGTTGACTGTGGTTTCTATGTCAGAAGACTGACATAAATCCAAAGAAGATTTCTTGTAGTGTGAGTATTGTCAAAACTTGCTTGTCCTCTGGTGAGACTTTGATACCTCATTGAATTTGTCTTCGCTGTCAGACATCTTCTATAACAGCTCGTCAAAAAGCGAAGAAGATAGAAATTGTAGAAGAAACTATGAAATGTATAAGATATAATTGCCTAATACATTTTGATAGTGAGTTCTTGACAGCCATTTATACACACTCAGTAGGGAGGTTATA